TTTGTATGTTTGGGCCATCTATAACAAAAGAAAAGCTATAAGAATGCGTTTTAAATAATAGCAATCTGAACTGCGAGCTGATCAACATATCACTGCTCGTATTGTGTACATGTATACGGGGCAGAACGGGGTACCATCCCGTTGTGCCCCAAAGCACATGCTTCTAAAAATCAAGGAGAGAAAAAAAGTTTATGATTACTTTTCGCATTATTTCATTTTAAAAATACAAACAAATCTGTAATAAACTAGACTATATAAATTTGGTTAAATTATAAAATATATCATATATTTACATTGTTTAAATGTTGATACACTTGTAATTTCCTCAAAAAAATCACGACGCAAGGTCATATTGGTCAACGACGCAGCGAATCTCGGTAACCAAGTGTTCACACTGACGTGTTGTCAGTCTGAGTGTAGGACAGCAAGTGAACCAATCCCCTCACCTCTCTTTCATATCACTACTTTGGAAGAAAACCGGCACAACTCAAAATTACTAGTTTTGAAAAAATCCCATGCAAAGATTTAACCAAAGTTTAACTGAATATCTCCCACATAACTGCTCCCTATTAGCCGAATACGCAAGCTACTTTTGTGACACTCTTCCACATAAAAATTTACTACATTTTCATTTTGATTATGACATAAAATCGCACTTTTTTGAGTTATGCCGGTTTGCTTCCAAAGTAGCGATATGTAAATCATTCCGCCCCGGGTTCCCCTACAGCCATATAGAAAGAGAATAATTAATCTGAAAATCATTCACTCAATCGTTACTTGTTCATATTGTCTTGAAGTTGCAGCTATTATTAATTAAGAAGCCAACAGAAGAGACATGTGAACCAAAATATTTGAATGGTGTCCTCATTGACACAAATCGTTAGAATATAAAGACGGAATACTACAGCGAAAATTACGGATGGTAATAGGAAAAATAGTATTATTTCCCTTATTATTATTAAAATATAAATTGAATTAATTAGTTTTAGGTACAGGCTGTATCATAAAATGACGAATAATAAACAGCATAATGAACCCACCGTTTTTTTTCTTTGGACTTGGATATAACATCAGTAATGTTAAAACTATTAGCATTAAGGATTTGTATTTTAAAAGAGTTCTTCAGTAGATTGTCATATCAATTATCTAACTTACTTTGTCATAACGTCTCGCAAGTATTGTGATATGGTAAACTTTGTTGAGACTATATTTGTACAGCATTTCACCGCTTCTTTTCCCTCAAAGATACAACTCGCTATTTATTTTGAATTGCATATTGCTGTCGCTATCTATTTGAAACAGCGTTTAAGACAATACTAATAGTTTTTTAAATCTTAAATGTGTAATAAAATGGCATGTAACGTTGATTAGTTTTGTGTTAAATAAATTATATTTAACGTTAAATACGCCTCTGTCACATACAATTGAAAATAGGCAGGTTTAAAGTACTTAGCGTTGAAGTCACTTATTATTATTAGAAAAATTTCGCAATTATTGCAGTTTGTTTCGGATTCTAATATTGAGTAAAAATCTTCAGCTCTAAATTGACATAAATTAAATTTGTCACGTATTCCTGCGTAATTTAAATATAAATTCCTCTCGATTTGGTTTTTAATCTTACTGGAAATGTTCTTGGGGAAATTGATTTAGTGTTTGTTTATTATGAAGACAGATTCTTAATTAGAAGTCTAATGCCTTTCCTTTATTTTGATAGCTAACTCGTCTATCAAGTTACTGCAGCATTTCTTCTAGTAAAACGTTACTTTTTTCATCAGTGAATTTTGAAATATTAATGACATTTCACTTGAATTGTTTAAAAGTATTTTCAGAAAATAGTCAAAGTTATTTAAATCTGTGCATAATTTAATGTGTCACTCATAAATAATCGTTTGTTGACTATCGATATATGATTAGAATGTTTTACATAATACAGTGGTACCTCGGGTTATGAACGCCCCAGCATACGAAATTTTCAGGATACGACATGAAATTCGAACATATTTTTGCTCCACGATACGAACAAAAACTCACCATACGACGTTACATTAGTTCGCATTTTTCATTTGTTTTTCTTACTACAGTTATTTTTTTAAATGTATTACTTGGCTTTAATTTGAGTATGTTTTTCGCGTTGGAACGAATTATTTGGTTTTACATGTAATCGTATGGGAAAAGATGATCCACCTTACGACATTTTCATGATACGATCTCAGTTTCGGAACGGATTAATTTCGTATCCTGAGGTACCACTGTATCCGAGATGGTATCCGATGTTATTATTTTGGAAATGGGTAGTATTGACAAAATAAATTTTATAAATTTTTACAATATTAAAAATCAATATTTCACAGGAGTAAATTTTTAAACATGAATTTAAAAAAGATGTCGACTACAAGAACACATTAAAACTTTAAGGACATCGATCTTCTTTTCTGGACTACTCAGCAATTTTAATAGTTGTTTTAATGTTTGAAGAGTCCTGCATACAACAGTCCTCGGGATGAGAAAAAGCAAGACCCTTATTTGTTGTGTGCAGCATTTTGAAACGTCTAACAACTATTGACACATCTGAGTTAGCCCAAAAACGAAGGTCGACGCTGTGAAAGTTTTAGTATGTTCTTGTTGATATTTTATATACGGATTGTCTTTTTAAAACTGTACGTAAAATTTCAGAAGTTTTAATGCATATAGATTATTGAAGTGCTGAAAATTTGAGAATCACGATAAATGTGGAAGAGAATATTCTGTGTGAAAATAATTTAAATGCTTTAGGAAAACATTAGACTCCAAAATAATGTTCTACACTAATTTGAAAGTTTTTAGATCATGTGAAAATTGTGTAATATTAAAAGAATTAGCAAATAAACAAAATTCAGAACTGAAATTTTAAACCGAGGATTCTAAAAAACCATGCATCAATATTACTTTGTCTAAAACATATAAAAAATTTTGAAACAGATTTTTCAATTTTATATTATTTTATATTAAGCAATAGACGCATAACGAAGATTTACTTAGACTCATCGGTTTGGCGAACTTGGTGGATCGTGTGTGACGTCATCTGCACCTGTAGTTTAGGAACGTGCCTTCCTTATTTCAATTTATCATTTCTGTTTTCTCGTTTCTCGTCCTCGATATGTCAAAGTCATCACAAAAACCATCTCGCCGATATGGTTAGGATGGCGAGCACCACTGATGAGCTGCTGACGTTACTTTCTTAGTTTAGGAACGAGTTTTTGAGAAACGGTAAAGCACTGGTGAGTTTAGGAAAGTGTATAACATGTGATGCACATTCATTTACCCAAGTTGATTTTTGTTTTGATTGTATTTTAATTGAAAAATATGTTACAGCCTATTGACGTGATACCTATATATATATACAAAAATATTTAAGAGAAAAGCTGTGTACATTCAGGCAGTCGTCCCATCGCTTCACCAATTTTCCGATGCTACCTTCTGATAAAAAAGTAGAAAAGGAAGGACTTTTTTGCGTCGAATAGTTGACAAGCTTGTCATCTGTCACGATTCGACTTTCTATACTTTGAATTAGAAGAAAAGCTTTAGCTTACAGTAGAAGCATCTGGCTGCAACTGTGTTCCAAGCGCAAGTGTCAGAAGGGAATCTTGCTTTCATATGGACAGTTCTCTTTTGCTGTTGAAATTCATCAAATCGAGTCACCATTGATGCATTACACCGTTATAAATATTCTGTATTCGTTATAAATATAAATATTCGAGAATAAACCAAAAAACTAATAATAAACATTATTTTTTTCTTATACGGTAAGGTACATTCACGTATTTTTAGGATCATTCAGAAAAATGCAGTCTCTCAGCGTTCGTCAAACTTTCTGCTGAACTGTTGTTTGGGATGTTTAACGATTTTCCTGTGTTCAGATCTCTCAAGCAAGTTTTAAAAGATGTAGATTCGTTACAAACGAGATTATAAAATCTGTACGTAATGGATTCTAGGAATAACCCGCAGGATTTTTACAGAGAGCATTAGAAAATTGGTTAAATACTGGGACGACTGCCTAAACGCTTACCAATATTCTAATATAGAAAAATTCTATTTGTATCTACAGATAGCACAATGACAAAATTTCTAAATTATTACTTCTATTGTAGCCAGTTTCTATGTGAAATAGAAATATTTGCAAAGAATTCCTTTTTTTTATTTTGTTTTTCGAATGATTAATTATTTACTCAGAGTTATCAAACGAGTATGTCTTTTAAAAGTTACAGATTGCAATTATCTAAATCATAAAATAATATCATATAAATGCTTCATATGTAACGATTAACAATATCGCTAACAATTCAGTAACAATTATAAATATATCTAATTTTGCACCAAACAAGCTTCCAATAACATTGGGATTCTGTGACATTAATGCTGATGCTTTAACATAGACGTGTTAAAGCATCTAAAGTTTCTAATAACATTAGACTCGAAAGAAAAATGACTTTTTAGTGTAACAATTATTTATAACCGAAAATACGCATTTACTTGGCTTTGATATCGGCTGGATAATGCAGCAAGATTTTTTGTTTGATGATCTAGTGCTATTACGTTCAAAAACTATGAACTACTTTTAAAATTGGTTATGTCTTTTGAATGAGCTTCTGGATATTTTGAAAATAATGAGTTATGCACTTGTTAAATTAAACTTTTTAACGATGATGATGGCAATGTCTTCTGACTTACATGAATCTGGATCATTAAAAAAATTAACGTTGAAACCATAAATATTGATTATTAAAAACTGAATAATTCGCTTTCTATGTGCATATGCATGTAGAAAGCGAATTCTTTAGTTTTTAATATAAATAATTAGTTAACCAGATTTTTGTCAAATTATATTTGGAAGAGATGGAATAATAATGATTTTCTTACTACTCCAGTCTTCGTGTTATTTGTTTTAATAATTTATTTGTTTAACGTATGTCTTTTGAATGATGTGAGTAATTTTTTTCTTTTGTTTGTTTTTTTAAAATAAGATATTCAAGAATTTTACGAAATCACGCTGCTAGATGACAGTAAAAGCATACAGCAGAAAACAGCCGAGACATTACAGATTGCCTGCAAATGGGAAAGAAGCCCCCCACTTACACATACGCCACACGGCAACAACGAGGTAAGCAAAATTTACTGTTTGTGTGTAGCGATAGTAACGGCTTGATGGAAAAACGATCGATTTGTATTATGTATGCCTGTTTTTGTTTTGCTCATCTCTTACGAGAGGGCACCACGTGTTGATGCGTTCAATGGTACCACCTAATATTAGAAAAATCAAAATGAAATTTTGTTTTTTTTTTTAATATGTGATCTAAGATAAAAATTGTTGATTATTTTATTTATTTAGTTTATACAAACGAGCAATGTCATGCAGAGCGTGAAATGTTTACCTCGAATAACAATAAATTACGAAATTCAATGAATAAATAAAATTATTAGTAGACTAATATATAACAAATATTAAGAAATATCGCGATTAAAAATTTATATTACGAATGAATTCAAAAATAAATTTTTTTCCAACTTTAATGTTTATGAATTCGTTTTTTTTAATTGCTTTCAAGTACAGCTATTAACATCAGTTAATATACATTTGCATTATAATTCTTTATCATTCAAGATAAAAGTAATGAAATTTTACTCTTTTGCAGTTATAATAAAATTAAAGTTATTTTTATTTTTAGTTGCGTAAATATCGACATTAGTTCTTACCCGAAAAATGTAAAATTAATTTTTAATAGAAAATATTTCTGGAAAAATTATAATTGGTAAAAATATAAAGTGAAATAAATTTTAAACTTTATGCAGAATTTATTTAAATGACTCAACAGTGTTTTATTAATGGGCTAAATAAAATTTCCTTTCTAAGAATAACATCTATTTCTTAAAAAAGGAACCATTGTACATTGGGAACGAGTTGTATTTTATTCCAGTATCTATTCTTACATTTTTCTTATCTATTTATTATATATATATATAATTGCCGAATATTGATACATTTTCTGGGTATATCATTTCATTCGATGACCGAACCAACAGGGGAAAACTAATGATATTATCCTTTTTTTTCTTTTCACTCAGAATGCAGAACGGCATTTTGCCAGAATATTTCATATATATCTTCTGCATTTTTTGATTAGGTTAAATATAAGAGGAAAGAATAACGTTTTGGAACAGTACTCTGAAGTACGATGTGATATGCGATAAATCAACTACTTTTCAGTGGTGCAGTTTCTTTCCTTTTATCATGTTTCAGAAATATTTTAGACAGTATCTGGGAAGATTAGTATTTCTGTTAAATGATAGATTGAAAACGACATTAGACATTGTTTATAACACGAATTTGTTTCTACTTGTTGCGGGATATTTGTGGTATTGTACTGTACATGCACGTGACTAGGATGACCTCTGTTGTTTTCAGATGTCGACAATGGGTGGCGCCACTGGTCGGTTAAGCGAAATTACTATGAAGAGCGGTCTTCCGTACGGAAGGAATGTGCGCGTAGTGATGCAGATGGATTGATCAGGAATAGTAGGTCGCGATTGCTCAGACGATTGGATGAAGGAACTCGCCGAAGCTGACGGCGAAAGGCGCGCGCACATGCTTGTGAAAACAACTCAAGTATACTAAATTAACTATCCAAGGAGGCTGGAGATGCTGGATAAAAGAGAAGCAGATCTAATCGATCTCATCGCAAAAGATGTCTAAATACCTTACGTAGTCGTTTCGTGTGACATCTCTCTCCGTTTGGGAAGCTTTATCGCCCCAATGGATACGGATGGACTCGGTTCCCCATCCTCAAATCGTGTCGACTCCCCCAACTCAACTATGGTGGACTTGACAGTGCGCGCGCTGTGTTTGGCACGTGCCCGTGTCGACTCACAAGCCGACGCCATTAGTCGACTCGTAGAAAGTAAAATAGGAACGTAGGTTTGTGTTCGATTTTGGTGTTTGTGTCGTGGATGCTGTTACCATTCACTTACTCTTTTATCTGAGCTAATTAGTGTGTAGAGGCCAAAATCTATTATTCATCATGATTGACTGGGTATCTATCGTCCGCCATTCCAGGCGTCGTTTCTCCACTTACATGAATACTATGCCGAAACGCCTCCGGAGACAACGTCAAAGACAGCAACAATTACAGCTTCAAAAGCAGCAGCTACAACAGCAAAAAGTGGAATCACCTCCGAAAACATCCGAACTTAGTTGTACCTGTTGTATACCTGCTAGGGTGGGTAATATTATCTACGATACATAAACGGCGGCTAAATTTGGATCTGATCAAATGGACTCTAGTAGATTTTGGCACCCGCTCAAAATTGACCACGTGGTTTCTTTTCTTTTTTCATCTTCCTTCCCTCCCCCTTCGACTTTACTATTTTTCAAGATATGAGGCCTATATAATTATTGTAGCTGATTGTAGCCGAAAAGTATTACTAACATATTCTATTAATTATTATGAAATAATTACAAATTAAGACATGTTTTTCTTCTATATTCTCGAGAATACTGAGGGAAAAAACTAATTTAATTATATTAATATAGTATAGCGAGGAAGATAAAAGTCAGAGATACTGTTAGTTAATTCATATCACAAACAACTGAGAGTTCGTCGCAAGCTTAATCGTCAGTGTCAGGCAGGAAAAAACGGACCTAAGGGAGTTGTTGTCATAGTAACGCTCTTTTTTTCCATTTCAGTTAGCAAATATTGGAAAAATCGATGAGGCAGGTGTACATAGGATACGTACTGTTTATTTTGTATTTTTAGTTATAAGCCATCTTTGCTATTTTGCTGCTTATAATAACGAATTTAACGACGGCGTTTGTTTCATCTGCCAGGTGTTCGTTTATATCGTAGAACATATTGATACTTGAATCTTTTCTATCCTGCCCTAGGAATCATAATACTCCAAACCGCCATTTAATGTCTTCTAATTCCGGGATAAACTTTGGAACAAATCCAGAGTTGTCTATTATACTGGCAACTCCCATTTTTTACTGCAATGGGATAAAATAAAGACGGTGAGGAAATTTTATTCTATTTTCGTTGTTAAAGAGAATATTTTGTTAGAATGACAAAGGATTTTTCGATGTTGATTTTGGCCTTCGAACAAACAATGTTATTTGGCTTCATAAGGCGACCGGAGGGCAAAAAAAAATTCACTCAACATGGCCTTCTCCTCCAATAATATCCGTATCTATTGTAACTGTCGTGGACTGGATCCAAATGCGAGTAAATGCAGTAATTGTTAACACTACTACAAAATCGTTTCTATTCGAAATGATACATGTTTGAATAAATTTTTTCTAGCATCAATTTTTCATATCGTTATCTCTATTGAAACTGAAAAATTTATGACGGCACTTCCATAAAAAATTTACGATTTCTATTTAGCTAATGCAAATTAATCCATATTTTAAGTTGAAAACTAAACAAAATTATTAAATATGAATTATTTTTATTAAGAGAAATTATTCGTTTCGAAAATATATATAATCATTCTTTACATTTAATTATAAAATATTTGTGTTGCGTGATGATATAGTTTATATTTATAATATACATTTTCCTTATAGAAATTTCGATATCAGGAAGAGGAATTACCTCCTCCTCCTCCTCCTGTCCATTTGAAGGATGTGACTGGGGTGGACGGTTTGCCAAGAAACATGTTCGAAAGAGAGGGACAGTTTATGACTAACATCAGCGATTCACCGAGGAAGGTAAGTCACTTTCTATCGATTTTATTCATGCGTCATCACGTGCTACAATCTGGTGGCAGAGAAAACAACTACCGCCATACAAAACGCACCAGCTGAAAAATTAAGCATCTACGACATTTATATTATGTTTAAGGCATAGGAATTTTATATTTATAATATTCTCTAACAGAATATATTATACATTTATCTGCAAATTGTTACTTATGCACTCGTAAAATTTACCTCGAGAGGAGAAAAAGCCAAGTTGTGCGGTAACGCATTTTAAGTAAACCCATTACAATAGTTTGGTAATGCAAGAAAAAGAAAATTCGGCTGATGAAAATGTAATTGAATTTTTTATTGGAAATTAAAGTGTGTTTCCTGTTTGGGAAATGGAAAAATTGGCAATAAAAGTAATTCTGCTTTGTCTATAAAAAGAAATTTTAATTAACTTGTATACGTAGTTATGCAGTTTTTTGCTTCATTAAGACGTATTAAGGAAAATCTATAAACAATTACGAGTCCGGAAAGGTTAATCTTTTGAAATATTATTTTATAGAATAAAGTAATAATTTTTGCCGAATTAATGCGATAATTCGTCATTTTTAAATAACAAAACGGAAAGGAAGAGGAAGTTTCGGAATAATAATAATAATACCTGCAGGAAGGAAGGAGTGTTTGTAATATGCCGGGAGAAACTGGTTTATATTGTCGTCAGATGGAGCCACGGCTCAATCGATGAGATGTAGAGGTAAAGAAAGCACCTCGTTCTGTTAAATCTAGCGTGACAAGCAACACCAGGCATCGTTGACTAGATATACGGTGTCCAACAGTACCGCGTCTTTTATTTTTCTTTGACATTTTTTATTCCTGTTTTCGTTCGTTGGAGCTTGATGCAATTTTGGAAAAATTCGGTTTAACTAGCATCGGTTGCCGTGGTGACCGGCAGGAAATCTCCGTAATGGCGAGGAAATTGAATTAATCTGCGTCTGGTAATACGATCTGGGTTTTGACGGGCATCCGAAGTTTGATAGTTGGCGATAAAAGAACTGTCAGTGATTACCTAAGAGAACTTAGTCGGGGCGATGTCGAGCGCGGGGAGGCCATTGTTATGACCGTTTGGTCGCCATAGCAACGCTTTTGCTTTCTGGTAGTCTCGAGTGTGAAAGGGGAGAACGTCCAATCGATCCTGGGGACATTCCGAGGGGACGTCAAATGTCATACGGCGTCCGTCTAGCCGATTGATGGATGTTTAAAAGAAACGACGAAAATTGCTCGCTGTTATCCCCATCTCAATTGTCATCTGCAATTTGGAATTTCGGCGGCTCATTTACTTTCTCTCCAACTTAATTAAAGGACCCGATCACAAAAGGAATTTCGTCTTTGCCGTTTTATTCGCTTGTTGTTTCGAATTTATATTTCCGTTCTGTTTAATATCAGTAATATGCTATCGATAATTCGTGCAATTTTATTCTCGTTTTAGCTAGTTTTTACTTGCTGTCATTAGATAATTCGATCTGCGATAACTTTTACTAATTGACAAATATCGGGAGATCTTATCTTCGAAGATGGAATTCTGTGGCAAATTGAGTTGGGAAGCTGGAAAATAATGGAAGCATTTGTTCTTCGTTTGTTATTTGAGATAACTTTCCTTTCTCTATGATCTGTCTTCGTCTTTCTTATCGCTTTTGTATTTCAAAGGAAGTAAAGTACTATACGTAAAGTCCTTCATTTGTTTTTGTTATTTGTCTTCTCTTCGCCATCTCGGCCACTCGTATCAATTTTTTCTTCGGTACTTTTTGCTCGTTGTAACCATAGCAACATCGGTGACGTCTTTCTGTCCAGGGAATTACGTCAGAGATGCATGGTAAGATATGAATTAGTCGACTGAGTTTCTCGGTTCCGGCCAATTTGTCAGTAAATGTGGACGGAGAAGATAGTTCTGCTCACTTAAACTCCTTATCCACCTCGAAACTTGGATATTTCTGCGGATCACTTTCATATATATATATATATAAGAAATTCAAACTTGACCTTTTGATTTCTGCAGACGAAGATTTCTATTTCTGTTCTTTTTCCTAATTGACTGGAAATTTCGAGTGAACATAACTAAGTTTGTATTTTATTTTTGTCCGAAAGAAAGACATAACGAAGTAAAATTTTGTGTTATATTATTCTCAATTTCTGTATCAACTGACGTCGTTTCTCAATTGGATGCGTATCACAGAATAATTGGAGATAATGATTTCGTATATAGCGCCGCGCTGTCCCGACTCAGTCTGCTGCTGACAGATGCCAGAAAAAGATGGAATTGCAGTTATTGTGTATAGTGGACAAAGTCCGTATTTTGCGACCTCCGTTTGGCCCTATAACATCTCTTAATTACCTGTCGCGTGTTGGACTAACTGGAGTTTCTATTGGCTTGTCTCATCGTCCTTCACTGAGTCGACGCGTCGAGCGCTCCGATCCCAACCACCATCTCTTTGCTGCCAAGCGAAGCGTCGACGTATGTGGCGGCGGTGGCCTGCCGCTCACCGTCTCAACCGACGGTCGGTCATGAGCGGGACCACCGTCTAGTCATGTGTTCGCTGTGTCCTATCAAGAGGAAACAAACAAAAATGGTTCGATTCGATTCCTTCGTTGATACCATCTCCTACATGGAATATGCCAGCACGTGCAAGGTAGGACCACGCTTTTACAACATCAATCGATTGTACCTTTTCTAGTTTTATGCTCGATTGTTTATCAGAAATGTGTACCGGTCATACCGATATCAAAAAATAAATTTTTCTCTAATATATCTATCGGCATACGATACTCGTATCCGCTTTGAAGAATTGTTAATACGAAGTTTCGCTTATTTGTTATTGGCATTTGTTTGAAAACTCTTTATCTGTGGTTAATATTGTCAATACCTATACATTTATTTTATTTCCAGTTTTTTGTAAATGCATTCAAAGTACTTGAGGGTTTTTTCCATTATTTTACAAAATTTATGAAAATATTAGTAGATATTTAAAGCACACCTTCAAAAAGATTTTAATTTTCATCAGCTGTACGGGAAAAATGATGAAATGTATTTGAAATCTTACATTTCTGTATGGAAATTTGTAAAATCCTATTTGTAATCATGTCAAACACAGTAATTTTTACATAACTTACAGCGGGTTGGAAGTCATCTGAAGATTATTAAAAGTTGCGAAAGCTACCGAAAAATACTCGGGTAAAAAAGAATCTTTACAAAATAATATGAAAATATAATCACAGTAGTCGAAGAAACGTTGTTTAACGTCAAAAAGTAAAATTGGAATTAAATTAGTTCTCAAAGGTATGTTGGCAATTAGGCTTATTTAATCATTTAACGACTGGAGCAAAGTAATAGGGGAATTTTCATTAGAAAGAGATTAGATTATATAATACAAATGACTAATTTTATGACTTAATATTATATTAATTAAATAAGAAAAATTTCGAGTTGGCCTAAGCGGCCTTGGTCTGATAGCGGACTTTGGGACGGATTAGTTGGGACATTTGTTAGATGGTTTCGGTGAGTTGTAAATATCTAAGCCTTTTTTTTTATTCTTTTTCTTCTCTACTTTTTTGTACTGGTGGAAATATCTAATTCCCTGGTTTGTTTTCGCCTATTTAGTAAGCCCACGTCACATACGCCTGGCGTAAACAAGATGGCCGACTTCGGCGTTGCCCAGGCGACCGGTGCCGTTGCGGTTACCGGAAGCGATCCTTGCCCTCGTTATTAGCATGCATTAATATGCGTCATGACGTCATTGTAAGTAAGGAAAGCAAGATTGTATCCATTGGACTGTTTCCATTTCATTTATTCCCACTAACCACGATGACGTCGATTTACGTAGTTTTGGTGCGTGCAAGGTTATACGAAATGCACAGCTATTCCCGACTATAAGTTTTATATTGTGTTTGATCCTTAGCAAGATATTTTTCGCACCTGTTTTTAATGCAAATTAAATGAATGTTCAATGCGTTATCGTCTTATCTTATAATTAATAGCATTTAACGGAAAAAATTCGTTTCTTCTAAGTAACGCTAAGGACTACTATCATTTCAAACTTTTTACTTTAGTTGTATATTTTTCTCTTAATAAAAGGTATTTCCTCTTATATATAAAATTTTTATTTTATATATAAGTACATATTGTTTGTCTCTTCAAACTGCTTTAATATTTTATTCATATTTCATTTTAATTTCAAATGTAATTGTTAGAGAGAGGGAGACTCAAATCTGACATTATAATTAAAATGATTTAATCCGGTTTAAAATTGAATAAATAGAATAAAAACAAAAACGCTACGTGTACTGTATGATTGAATATTTATTAAATATCAAAGGTAAGCATTAAAAATAGGATTAAAAGCTGGAGCGATAGCGAAATACTGATGAAGTGACAGTTAATACATCTGGTCTAGACTTGGAAAATAAATCTGGAAAGAGCTACTTAATATTTGATATTATTGCTTACACTTTTTGTAACAGTTGAGCTTTCACTTGAGCAGTTCGAAAGACGCAAATAACAATCACTGTTAAATTTTGAATGGAATGGTTTCATCAAGACTTTTTTTTTAATCTTTACATGTTTATTTTGGAAAACAACTGTGAGGAGGATTATTTTTACCGTTTGTGAATTTTTAAAAATTAGTTATCATTTATATTTTAATATTCCATATTTTACCAGACCAATGGTTTTGTTTGTTTCTTATCTACGAGTATAATAATATTATTATTTTTATTTTATTATAATCATATCATATAAGCATAATATAAAATTAGATTAAAGAAATGGCAAATCATTTTTACGATATTATATCTCAATATCAAACATTTCTGGAATATTGAATTATATTTATTAACAAATAATTTGACAGCATTCAGGAAAGACAATTTTAGTTATATTAGAGTATATTTTTCATCTAATAATTAATTTTAAATGATATAATAGATTATGGTTTTTTTATAGTTTTAGGCTAAATTCTTATACTGTATTAGTT